TCCTCACTCGGATATATGGCATAGCAGTGCTCTTTTGGATTGATTTTTTTCTATTGGATTCTACTTTGATTGATGTACAAAATTGATTTACTTTATGTGGCATATTCACATACATACAGCTATATTAACCCAGAGATTGTGTAAATTTACATGTCTAGTAAGTTGCCGTATATGCCTTCCCAGGACTGTAAAGGTTAAAAGTGAATCTGGAAACTACTATGGTGGCTGCTTGTTAAGGAATGCAAGCAATTAAGTGTTCCCACAAAAGCTTTGAAGTTAATATCTTAATAGGACAATGAGGAGAAAAAGTCAAGGCTGCACTCCTACAATTGATTCAGGCTGTAGTTCTATTGACTTAAAAGTAGATTTTAGAAAAATTAAAAGTTATCTTAATAGAAATTGTGAGTTCTATTTTAGTTTGTAGAATTTCGTATTAATTTAGATTGCCACTTGATAACATCTAGAGACTTTCAGGGACCCAGAATTTCAACATGTACTTTGTGGTTAGTAATAAGAACAATAATAGCTAACATTTGTTGAACCCTCTGTGCTAGGCACTTTGCTAAGAGATTTGCCTCTGTTTTTTAAAAATCTTTTTATTAATCTAAGGTAGATACTGTTAGAATCCTCATTAAAAAGCACTGAAGAAATGAAGGCTTACAGAGATTTTAAGTAACTTAAAAACTAGTCAGCGGCTAGTAAATAAGCAGACTGGTGAGAATGTTAGCTCTAAGTCCATATTGTCAACTCTACTTTTTGTATACTCATCAAATACACTTCCAGAATGAGTGTGTATGTGTGACTTGCTAATTTTCTCAGCAAATATTTATTGAGTATCTAAATTACAGTGTGCTGAATGCAGTTTAGAAGAACTGTATGGCATCTTTAGAAGGAAAGATGCATAGAGCCCAGCAACACAGAGGAATATATGAGTAAATGCCTAAATGAATGGTGTGGTTAAGCACAGAAGTGTTCAAAGGAGAACTGGAGAAGCGAGAGTTGAAATGGTTTCATGAACAAAAAAGAGGGCTTCTCAAGGAGATGGAACTTTGGCTAGATTCTGAAGGATAGGGGGAGGGGCACTGGGAGATGGATAATGAAAGAACAGTGGTGGGGGAGACGGCATGAGCAATGGCACAGAATTGAGAATGAGCTTGGGGGGATTGTATTAGTCATCTACATCTGTGCAACATATTACTCCCAAACTTAGTGGATTAAAACAATAAACATTTATTGTCTCACACAATTGCTGTGGGTCAGGAATCCATGGGTGTCTTCACTGGACAGTCCTGGCTCAAGGTTTCTTATGAGCTTCAGTTAAGATATTGGCCAGGCTGAAGTCATCTGAAGGCTTGACGGGGGCTGCAGAATTTGCTTCCAAGGTGGCTCCTCACTTGCCTGGTAAGTTAGTGCTGGCTGTGGACAGGAGGCCTCAGGCCTCATCACATGACCTCTCCATGGGCTGCTTGAGTGTCCTCATGACATAGCAGTTAGCTTTCCCCTGAGTAAATAATCGAAGAGAGAGCTTGAGGTCGTTGTGATGTCTTTTATGACCTAGTCACACATTGTCACTTGTGCCATATTCTGTTCTTTAGAAGCAAGTCACTAAGCCTAGCCCATACTCAATGGGAGAGGAGTTAGTCCCCACCTTTTAGAGGGAGGTATATACATAATATGTGTACATATTTTAAAACCACCATGGGTCAAGAGCCCATGGCCTGGATGAAGTTTTAAGGAATAATGAAATATTTACTTTGCTAGACAGACAAGGATCCTGATAAAAAATTCTGAATTTCAAGCTGAAAAATTGTGATGGTGGAGATACAAAGGAGTTGTATTTGGGGATTGGTGTTTTTGAACAATGACACTGGTAGTGATGTGTGGGATGGAATGGATGGGCAAGGCCAGTTCTGAGACTGTCACAGTAATCCAGACAGTGGCTTACTAGGGGCTGGCCTGGAGTGAGAAGAAATGGGAAAGAAAAGCTTGGAGAGACTGTTTAAAGAATTGACTGATAGGCTTTGGTGACTGGGGCTTGAGGTTTCCAGCCCAGTGACTAGAAAAATGGAGGTCACAGCAAAAGGGAAGTTGGGTGGAGTTGCTGTTCATAGGGCAGGACATGGAGCTCAGGTTTTTAAATTAATTAATTATTAAAATTAATTAATTATTTATTTTTTGGCTGCATTAGGTCTTTGTTGCTGCAAGTGGGCTTTCTCTAGTTGCAGAGAGCGGGGGCTACTCTTCATTGCGGTGCACAGCCCTCTCATTGCGGTGGCTTCTCTTGTTGCAGAGCACAGGCTCTAAGCACGCGGGCTTCAGTAGTTGTGGCTCACAGGCTCTAGAGTGCAGACATAGTAGTTGTGGCACACGGGCTTAGTTGCTCCGCAGTATGTGGGATCTTCCCAGACCAGGGCTCGAACCCGTGTTCCCTGCACTGGCAGGCAAATTCTTAACCGCTGTGCCACCAGGGAAGCCCGGAGCTCAGTTTTAGACATGTGGTTATTCTGTAGATGTTTGGCCATATGAAAGTGGATTTATGATAAATTAGGCTGTAGAATAACAGTAGACCTGAAATTAGCAACTTCATATTGGGCTCTAAGTTTCTATATCTTCTGACTTTATCAGCAAAATACACGACAAAACAAAAAAGAAAGGCAACGGCATCAGTGTAGATTCGTGTTTGTGCCACGTTAAGTGAGTGTGATTTTTTTTTTCCCCAAAAAGAAATCTCGTGGTGTTCAGGTTCAAGCATCCTGTTGGAGCTGAATAGCTTTGTTTCTAAAAGTGAAAGGCAAATGTAGAAATAGTAGATGGGATCCTTTCGGAGAGGTAACATGTCTTGCCAGGTGTATTCAATATAGGATCATATTATATGACATCAGCCAGAGTTCTGAAAATTCTTTCATTTCTAGTAGATTCTGCATTACTTTACCTTTTTCGATCTCAGGTCTCTTGTTCCTGTCTTCCACCTCCTTAGCATATCACCTTATCTTCTTCTTTATTAAGTTCATACATTAGTTTAATCTGTGTGAAATTGCTGGGTTTTTTAAAGTAAAAAAATAGTTGAATATCTGAAATTTCAAATGATTCAACCTAATACGCCCTGGCTTTCCTATTCTCTACCTTAAATTTTTTCTGTATCATCTTGTCTAAATTCTATAAAGTTTGAAACATTTTACCCTTCAAGCTATCATTCTGTTCCTCCCTGTCCCCCAAATTGCCCTTTTTTTCTAAATTTCCATTTCTTCCTCAGTTTAGCCCACCTGACTCTGCCCTCACCATTGTACTAATTGAAAACACCCTCTTAAATTCGTCAGTGACCTTCTGGTCCCCTGCCCAGTCATTTTTGCTCAAGCTGTCTGTAATATTCAGCACTCTTCGTTGGCTGTTCCCTTTTCTGAAATTGTCATATACCTTCTTTTTCTTGGTTCTCCTTCTATTTCCCTATTGTTTTTCTACACTCCTCTAAAAGTGCTTTGTAAAATTTTTGAGGATAAAATGGTAGGAAGGAGATACAGTGGTTCTTGGAATGTGCAGGGAAGTTGAGTGGGGCAAGTATCAGGAAGAACATGGGCCCGGAGGGCAAGACGCCTTGGTTCTAATCCTACATCAGTCAGTGTGTACAGTGAAAGTTCCTTTATCCAAGAGTCTAAACCTAGGCTAATTTAACCAAGAGAATTGTTTAAAAAGGAGTGCTTTGGAGCTCCCCTAATAAAAAAAACCCAGCATTATAATAATTGAAAAATACTTTATAAGCCTGTAAATGACACTTACGTCTTCGTTTATATGTATCCCGTCTTCTTTTATTTGGTAAATTCAGTTTCAACATAGTCCTGTACTTGAAAATATGATGCTCTGCTTTGAGCTTGTTTTAATTTTTAAGAAAAGATTTTTCCATAAGTATACTACAGTTAGATTTCTTCTAAAGTTTTAATTCAGAACCTTAATTTTGGACCTAAAATAGAATACTTTGTGTTCATTTTAAAAATGCAGATTAGCTATTAATTAGCTTAATTAGTACTGATTGAGCATATTATAACGTTCATGTGGATTTTATGCTATTGCCTGTGTCATTTTTGAATTTATTAAGCAAATGATTCTTTCCTTGATGTATTTTCCTTGAAAGCATTTTCTTTTATATACAGTACTTTTTTGAAAATGTGGTTATCAATTATTGTTATGATATATAATGGAGAGAGCTATACCTCTCTCAGTGTGGAATATATGTTATTTGGCTTCCAAAAAATATATTGCTGTGAACGTACATAATTTGAGACTTAACGTTTTTGAGTTAACCTTACCTCAAAACTTCTACTTTATTCACCATCCATTTAGTTTTAACCTTTACATTAATTTTTTATTTACTAGAAAGATACATGCCAAACTATTTTTGAAAGTTAACAACTACACATCAACTCTTTAGATCGCAATCTTTTCCAGGAACTAAATATCTTTTCCTAATTGCAGTTATCAGTATTTTAGCCTGTTTGCTGAATGTAATTTACTTAGAAACTTATTTTTGAATTTTGCTTGTTTTTCAAATACTGCACCTTCAGCATGAATTTTTTAAAGTTTCATTTATTTCACTGAAGGAAACGAAACATTCTGACATTTGAAGGAAAACGTTCCAAATGTGGTACCTAATGCTTAATATATGCGAGCTTGTGATATAAAATCTGTGTATGTTAGTAATGATGCTGATGATGTTGATGGTTGCTAACAGCAGCAGCCACTTCCTAATTTTTAGCACTGTTAGGATATTCTCCCTCTAAAGCAGTCTTAAGTCACTTTAAGAAAATAAACATATGCTATTTCTTTGGCAAAAATAATTTTAAAATATCTGGCATAGTGCCTTGCAGATTATAAGTTCACCATAAATATTCATTGCTTACTTTTTTTTTTTTTGCGATACGCGGGCCTCTCACTGTTGTGGCCTCTCCGTTGCGGAGCACAGGCTCTGGACGCGCAGGCTCAGTGGCCATGGCTCACGGGCCTAACCGCTCCGCGGCACGTGGGATCTTCCTGGACCAGGGCACGAACCCATGTCCCCTGCATCGGCAGGCGGGCTCTCAACCACTGCGCCACCAGGGAAGCCCCGTTGCTTACTTTTTTGATAGACAGGAGTCACAAAAGCATTTAGCTAACAGTAGGTATTGCAATTATTGGTTGATGTATACTGTTATTAGTTGCTCTTTGGTGTTATAAAGGAACAAAATTTCCTTCAATGAAGAGTAATGAGTATTCCTGTTTCAGTAAAGAAGTGAGATCATCCTAATTTTAAGAAGAAAAATAAAATTAATGTTGAATTAGTGAGAATTTATTACTTTCCAGAATGAAAATTAGGATGTACTTGTTCTTGTCTTCATAGTTGTCTAACATTATCATAATCATTATAGCCAATGATTATTAGCTTTAGCTCTTATTATGTTGAGTCACTTTTCTAAGCATCGTAGTGGTTTAAGCTCATTGGCCCTGAAATAAGAATTCCTGAATTTGAATCCTGGCTGTACTACTTATTAATTGTGTGATCTTGGGCAAGTTGCTTAAATTCATGGAGCCTCAATTTTGTTGCCTTCAAAATAGATGAATGAAATGATTACTGCAAATGGCTTGTGTGAGAAATAAGATCATCATCATCATCATCATGAACAGCTGACATTACCTTTTCTACGTGTCAAACAGAAAACGATACCTTACTTACATATCTTACTATCTACTTACTATATACTTTACAGAGGAAGAAAAGTGAGCCCCAGAGAATTAAGTGACTTTTCAAATCATTTAGACTTGTGTCAGTTAAACTTAGCAGAAAACTTGAAGACTTGTGGATTAAACACATAGAGACTTACTTTTCTTGCATAAGAATCCTGGCTGCTGGAGCTTCCAGGGTTGCTTCAGCAGCCTGACAGCATTAGGGCTGCCTTCTCCTTGCGTCACAGGTACAATAAGGCTGCTGATTCTCCTGGGCTACATGTCTGTGTTCAAGAGAGGAAGAGAGTGGGGGAGGGTACAGTCAGCTTCTCTGTCCCTTTTATCAGGAAAACAAAAGCTTTTTTAGAAATCTCTTCCAGACTTCAGCCTACCTTTCCTTGATCAGACCTGTATAAGATGGCTCCGCCCTAACTGCAGAGGAAGCTCTGAAAACCAGCGTTTAATCTTTTCATTGTGGAGGCTGCAGAGGAGGAGTAATTCCCCTTCCGTTAACCTAGCCAGAGGGCCCTGCTGCTTTGCCTAAGATCCAATAACTCTTCAGTGGCAGAGCTGAGATTCTAACCCAGGTGTATCTTGCTCCAAAGCCTATTTCTCCAACTCTGCCTCTCAAAGAATCAAGACCCCATCACAAACATTTTGAATAACCATTTTCCAACTTCCGTATGCAGGCACAGTTTTTCTTCTTGAAATTTTGTATTTTTCAGAATAAAAATTTATTTACCTTGTTAGTCTGGCTGAATTTTGAAGGTATAGGTTATGTGTCCCTCCCTATCTTCAAATAAAAATATAAACCCCAAATTAGTGACTGAATGCTTTTTCTATTAGAAATGATTACCAAGATATGTTTATTTCAGGGAATTTCTGATAACATTTTTCAGTTTTCTATAGTAAAAAAACATAATACATCATTAAGGTAGTGAGGTTTTGCCTCTTTCCGTTCTAATTATTATGTTTTAACTCATGGTAAATGAGTTTGTTCTATGCTCATTTCCTAAGGGGTGGTTATCCACTGATTTCATTTTCTGGAATAAAGTTATGTCACAATTCTTGGAAACTGCATATTTATTTTTTTGTTTTGTTTTTTCAGAGATGGGGGTGGGATGAGGAGTGGGTGAAATGAAGGTCATAATCCAAATTCTCTATTCAGCCCTCAAATATATAACCATAACTTACTCTTATTTTGTCTTTTTAATATTTGAGATAAGTTACATTGAATTTTGTAGAGAAAAAAAGGATAAGATACAGTAACATTTTGAACTAGGCAACATTATCCACATTTGTAGGCAAGCTGACTAAGCCTAGATAAGTTAGGAAATTTCTGCAGTCAGTGAACTAGTACACGGTAGGGTTTGGAGTGGAGCCCAACCTGTTGCTCCATGCATTGAGAGGATAGAATCCTCAGCAGTCTGTTCACTTAAGACTGATCGTTCTGTTTCTTTTAAAATATTTAAATAACATGTTTATCAAATAAAACATACCTCTAGGTATCACTTTTTACATTTGAACAACTTTTTGTTGCAATAAGCTTTTGTAAAATAATCAAGAAACATTATTAAGTATAAGCCATAGTTTAACTTAAGCCATACCTTTTGATTTCTGTTTTACCAAATCACTTTACCAGAGATGTTATCAAGTAATATTTACCTCATGTAAGCTAAATTCACCCACATTGTTAGTGGTAAACCATCACTGACTAATAAACAAGTGAACTGTTCCCGTATTGACCTTTCTAGTCTGAATTGCAAAGTATGTCTTTCTAACTAATGACATTGTGATGTGGTCCATCTACATTTCTGTGTACATTTCTCTCTTTTCAGATTCATTTTTTTGAATTGGATAATTAACTAAGCAAAATGTTTCGAGTTGCATTTTTTATTATTAGGAAAGTAGAAAAAAGAAGTATTTATACATCTATAATTGTAAATATCATCAAATACTGTGTTCTTTTACATTAAAAATTTATGGGTTACTGAAAATGCATAAATTTCAATTTATGCAAGTATTCTTTCCCACTGTTCTATATACTCTTTTGTTTATTATAAAAAATATGCTACTGACCAAACCAAATCCAATTAATTCTGTTGGTTTCTTCATTTTAGATTAAAACTTTAATTCATTTATTTATTCTATTGATATATATTGATCACCACAATGTCAAAGCTAATGTTCTTCAGTGATCAAGCCAAATTACTAAAGTTACACCTACGTTGGAATTTCTGTTATAAATTTCTTTTTGTTTCAACTTGTAAAAGTAATGCAGTCTCATAGAAAAGCTATGGGAAATTCCCTAAGTAGGAAAATTTTGAAACTTCATAAGTCCAATTTTGTAACTGTGTATGGTGATGATGTTAACTAGACTTCTTGTGATGATCATCTTGCAGTGTATACAAGTATCGAATCATAATGTTGTTCACCTGAAACTAATATAACGTTATATGTCAATTATAACTCAATAAAAAAAAGTACTGCTAAAACTCTAAAAACAAAAGAAACAACAAAAAGAAAACCTTCATAGATCCACCAGTCATTTTGGTGAATTTCCTTTCAGTCTTTTCATCTAGACACAGGTTTTTGTTTTGGTTGTATATGGTTTTAATCTCTATATAATTTTGAATCACGAGTTTCTCAATTTTGTAGCATAGCCTTTTTCATTATGAAGGATGCTTTATGTATCACTAAATATAACACAATTTCTTTAAGCAATCCTATTTATTAGACATTTAGGTTGTTTCTACTGTTTTAACTCTTATAAGTGGCACAGCCATGAACATCTTTGAGGGTAAGACTTCTAGGACTATTTCCTGAAGAAAGATTAAGTGGAATAACTAGGCTTAAAGGTTATTGATATTTTTCATGCTTAATCAAACAGATTGAACATTTCATAGGTTTTTTATTAATAGTATTTCCTTTTTTGTAAATTGTTAGTTTCTTTGCCTAGCTTATTTATCTTTTTGGGATTATAGTGTCTTCCTGAGCTATGTATATGAGCACTTGGTATAATTAAGGTTGTTCATCTTTTTATTTAAAAAATATTTTATTACAAAAGTAATTAAAGCTTATTGCAAAATACAATAAATTTACATAACTTAACAGAAATAAAGAACATCTAGTGAAAACATAATATAAAAAAAATTTCTTAAAGAAATCATATTTTTGAGTACTATTTTATAACTGGGTTTTCCCTCCAAATAGTTAGGTGTCTAAATATGTCATTATATATGGAATATATAGCATCCATTACTGTAATTTATTTGATGTTGTTGATGTTGTTTCCAGTTTTCATTATTTTTATAAACACTTCAGAGACAATTCTGTGTATAAATCTTGATATGATTATTGGATTATTTCCTTGAAATAAATTCTTTGGAATGGGAAGACTGGAAAGGATGTATATTCCTTAAAAATTTATACATATTTCTCATTTGCCACAAAGAAACTATTTGTCCCTAACACTAGTTATCATTTTATTTTTCATGTTTGCCAGTCTAATAGACAAAAATACTGTCATTGTTTTAATTTGCATTTCTGATGACTAGCAGTGGTGAACATCTTGCCATTTATTTAGTTCTGAAATGAATGTTGTATTCCAGTTTCATTGGCCTGTTCCAATTGCTCATTAGTCTTTGGATTTATCACGTTTTTATTAATTTATACCCTTTGTCATGCTGTTAAAACTATTTACTACCAGTATATTGTTGGTTACATTTGCCATACAACATTTTTCTATTATTATCTAATTGATTTTGCATATTTTTTCTTTTATAGTTTCTAGTTTGGTTGTCATACATAGAAAAACCATTCCCTCCATGGAAATATTGGCATATGTTTCCTTCTAGTATTTTGTAGTTTTATATTTCAGTCTTTTTCTTTTTTTTTTTTTTTGCGGTACGTGGGCCTCTCACTGTTGTGGCCTCTCCCGTTGCGGAGCACAGGCTCCGGACGCGCAGGCTCAGCGGCCATGGCTCACGGGCCCAGCCGCTCCGCGGCATGTGGGATCTTCCCGGACCGGGGCACGAACCCGTGTCCCCTGCATCGGCAGGCGGACTCTCAACCACTGTGCCACCAGGGAAGCCCAATATTTCAGTCTTTTTTTTAAAGTGTTTAAAATTTATTTTGGAATAAGTCAGGACTCCTACGCCCCCCACCCCATAGTAATGATTACTAATATGCATTGAGCTCATATTACCTTCTTTTGTTGTTCTTAAGACACATTTATTTGAATTTTAACCTCTCTTACTTCCTTGAAATCACTATTGTCCAGGTGACAACAATGACATAGTTGTCATTGCCTGCCCATATGCAGAATTAGTCTTGACTGTTTATATTATTAACTTATATTTTGAGCTGTGTTCTTGGTAGACTGTAAACCGCAATGTATTGTGTCATTCTCAGCATTTTTTTCTTTAGTAAAATAGAGTAGGAGATATTAGAATGCACTGCATATAGCAAGACTAATTATAGCTTTTAGGAAACTTATTTCAGTTATGTGTTAATGTGTGTGGAGAAGGTAATTTCTTTATGGGGGTGCTGGGTTGTGATGTAAACCATGTTTCTTACTTTGTCAGCCATCATTGTCCAGAGATTGTAATGGTGAGGTTAAAGGCAGTTGTGGAAGACTGTAACCACTACTGACAAGAAAAGACAAAGTGGCTGGTGCTGGAATGGGATAAAAGCTCAGATTTCTGTGCACCTGGATCTTCTGAGGATCTTCACTCTCTCTTCTGCTCTTAATTATACTTTCCCCCTGGCCACTTGTCTACCTGCTGCTGTTCCCAATGTTGTAGACTTTGTCCTTGGCAGAAGCACCCAAGGGAGTTAGTCGTGCTTGGCCAAATTTTCTTTTAAGCTCTGCTTCACACTTAGTAGTCATAGATACTAACTTGCCTTGCCTTCCTATATAGGAAGCACACCTAGTATGTAGAAGCAAAGCCCGTCACTATCCAGAATATGCAGTTTACTGCATAGTTTATAAAGTTGTTGTTCCCAAATTGTTTACCACAAACCCATTGGACAATAACTCTTTATCATCTTTACTATATGGTTGTAGAAGCTAGCTTTCATTTTCTTTTCCAAATCAGCGTATTATCTTTACTTTGCCCTGTGAATATCCATCAGTTTTCCATCTTAAAGATAGTTTTTCTTCCTTCTAATGACTGAAAGTTTGAGCTATCACTTGATTAGATAAATTCTAATTTGGTTTTTTTTTTTTTTTTTGCGGTACGCGGGCCTCTCACTGTTGTGGCCTCTCCCGTAGCGGAGCACAGGCTCCGGACGCGCAGGCTCAGCGGCCATGGCTTACGGACCTAGCCGCTCTGCAGCATGTGGGATCTTCCCGGACCAGGGCACGAACTCGTGTCCCCTGCATCGGCAGGCGGACTCTCAACCACTGCGCCACCAGGGAAGCCCCCACGATCTGTTTAATTATTATCATTTTTAAAAGCAAGAACTTTCTGATGGATGGGAATATAAAATGCTGTAGCCACTTTGGAAAATAGTTTGGTTGTTCCTTAAATACTTAAACAGAGTTACTTCATGACCCAGCAATTCCACTCCCAGGTATATAACCAGAAGAAATGAAAACATATGTCTACTCAGAAACTTATAAACAAATGTTCAAAACAGTATTATTCATAATAGCCAAAAGGTGGAAAGAACCCAAATGCCCACCAACTGATGAAATGATAAACAAAATGTGTGTGTGTGTGTGTATGTGTGTGTGTGTGTGTGTGTGTATATTATTCAGCCATAAAAAGTAATGAAGATACAACTTGCCTGAACTTTGAAAATATTACACTAAGTGAAATAAGCCAGTCACAAAAGACTACATATTGTATAATTACATGTACATGAAATGTCCAGAATAGGCAAATATATTTAGAGGTAGAAAGTAGATTAGTCAGTGCCTAGGGATGGGAGGATGAGGGGAGGGGCTTAAGGAGTTGATGGTTAAGGGCTGTAGAGTTTCTTTTTGGAGTGATGACGATGTTTAAGAATTGATTGTGATAATGGATGCACAACTCTTTTTAGTGAGTACAGTATACTTAAA